TTGAAGTTCCAAATAGTATTGTATGTCTTTAGTGTTTTGACTGAATGAGAAGAGTGACACCTCACATGTTGCATATTGGTCTTTCTGTCACAGAGCAAAACAGTCATAAACCCAGCCATGCTTTTCTGTTATGAATCCATAGAAATACTAACATCTTATCATATCTCAAAATCACACTGTGAAAGGAATGAAAATCATTACCTTTGTTCAACCTTTGCATATGCTGACCCTACTCCTTTAATTGGTTTTTGAATAACACCCAGGGAAACTTCCCTTGGAGAGTCTGTTAGCACAAAACATCTGTGATGTGGCATGTAGCCCAGAAGAACACCAGAAGTCCTACAATTCTGACTCCAATCCTCTTCTTTTGTAAGTGAAGAAACTGAGGGACAAGAAGATGAAGGAACTTTCTTTGGGGCCAGACTTAGTTCCTAAGCTGGGATTAAAATTCAGATGTCCTGATTTTCAGTCTCTTTATTTTATACTTCATGGTTTTGTCCAAAGTGACCACCTGATCATCCTACTCTGAGTGCATAAATATTTAACATGCCAGATAGTAATTTGTTAGAAGAAACGGATTTTGCAGTCATGAACTTTCAGCTCTCATATTCATCTTACTATTAATTTTTATTTCTTGTATTCTACACTTGCATATATATATTCCCATTTTATCACTCTATTGCAATACTTGAATTTTTTGAAAGCTTTGGTTTGGCTACTTTAGCTAGTTTTTGACCATATTTTTAAGGGATTATTACCCTGAATGATTTAGAGACAGCTATCCAACAAGAAGTATATGAATGAATTTCTTTACTATCTGCCAGCTCCTCTATTTATTATTTTGAGTGATAAAATCAAACTTTCCTTGATAAATTCCCCATAGACATTTTATTCTGTTTTTCTAAAATTACCATTTGACAAATATTGGCTAAAAAACATAAAATAAAATTTTATTTTGTCCAAAAAAATAAAAAGCAAATTTGCCACACCTTAGTATGAATTATGGTTTTCCTGTTTATACCTTGATCATAAAAACAAACGCAATCTTTAAATTTTTAGTAAAACACAGATATACATTTAATGATATGAAAAGTCCCATGAAATATAGATTGAATATTAGTTATATTCTAAAAGATTCTTGTATCTTTTAAAGAAGTATATTGTTTTAATCTAACAAGTTAGGTTATAAACTGTACAGAGTTTAAGAAAATAAGGAAATAGTATATGAGCTAAGACCACTAGGCCTTCTATTCCTGATTAGGATGTACAACATCACAAGTGACTATTTTTCCTACTATAACAGGAACACATAAGATGATCTTCAAAATTACAGTTTCTTTTTTTAATCCAAGAGAAATTTGGTGACAAAAGAAGCATGAATAAACTAATTCCAGGAAGTGACAAGGCCCACACAAAACTAAAAAAAAAAAAAATTTCCTGAGTGCTTTCATCCCTGATGGAACAAGACAAAGAAAACACACTACAGATAAGAAGCAAAGAGAAATCAGCTCAACATTTGATCAACTTTTAACATATACATTTAGACTATGTGTGATGAACAAAAATCCCAAAGAGCCCCAGCTACAGAGCAGGACTGAACTACTTAACAGGTCTCTTATTTAATCCCTTATTTAAAATGTTGTGAGTGAAAAGTCATTAACTCAATGGCTGGAGGTAAATCAGGAAAGTTTGAGAGAGATCCTTAAACACTGGCTTTCCTGAAGGCCAGCCAATGGCTGCTGAAGAGTAGGAGTGGGACAGCATTACTAACAATTCTCCCCAAAGCTTTCATGTTATGGAAAGCCCAGCAGCTGGGTTCTAAGCACAGAGAGGAATGAAAGCTGCAAGAAATACCTTTGTGCTATTGGAATGTGAGGAGTCTGCCGTAGTTCAGTGTATCGCAGACACCCTGCAGAACCTGAGAGATACTTTGAGGGGAATGAATTTAAAGACAGATCCAAAGAAAATCTGGCAGCTAGAATGTAAAGCAATACAGATTTTACCAGGAATCAGATCCCAATCTGTACTGAGTAGGAAGTATGATCCTGCCCTCAAAATATCTGAAGTCAATGGTCAAGTGAATCTAAGTCAAGTCACAAAAGAGAGCAAAAAAGTAAAGTCACAAAAGCTCAGCTATAGATTAACTTGACTGAATAAATGGTGTGCCTTTTTGTGAGGATAAATGTTATTTTAATCCTTTAACACAAAGCAAAACATATGATAAGAAATTACAAGATACATGAAGAAGGAAAAAAAGGAGATTTACAGTCAAGAAAAGAAATAGTCAATAGAAGCAGAATCAGAAATGCTCCCTCCGGATGTTGAAATCATCAGATGAGAATGTTAAAAAAACTATGATGAATATTCTGTACAATCTGTTTCAAAAGTTAAGCAACCAGTATGAAAAGAATAATTTCATCAGTGAAATTAAAATTATAATAAGAAATATTAGAAATTGCAGTATCAAAAAAATTAAATTAGATGGGCTTAATAACAGAAATAACAGAAGACTAAGGTAATCAGTGAATTTGAAGAGAAGTAAAAAAAAATTGAACTGAAAAAGGAAAAATACTCTGAATCTAAAGTCATATGATAGACTAAGCTTAACTTGTCTTTATATTAATTGAGCTCAACTCTGATTCAAGCTATATATGATAATATTAAATTTATCTAGAATATATGTAACTGAATTTCCTGACTAAGGTGAGCAAGAAGTAAAAAGAAATATTTGAGGAAATAGTGGCTGAAAATTATTCAAAATTAATAAAGGGTATCAACTCACAGATTTAATAAGCCTTGCAAACCCCAAGTAGAGTAAATACAAAAATTTACACCTAGCCATGCCAAAATCAAAGACAAAAAAGGAAATTACAGAAGTATCTAGGTGTAGTAACTTGAGTGGATGTTGGAGAAAACACATTCCATGCAGGACAGCAATCATAAAAATGACACTTCTCACTAGAAATAGGCCACAAGACAATAGAACACAAGAGCATGTACTGTATAATCCTATCTACATGAAACTCAAGACAAAATAAAACTATCTTGGGCTGGGATTGTGGCTCAGTGGTAGAACGTTCACCTAGCACCGGCGGGACCCGGGTTTGATTCTCAGCACCACATAAAAAATAAAAACATTGTGTTGTGTCCATCTACTCCTAAAAAAATATTAAAAAGAAAATAAAACTATCTATGTTCATAAAATTTACAAAGCAGTTGACTCGAAGTGAGGAATTGACTAGAATGGAGCATAAGTGCACTTTCAGTGATGATAAAATGCTTTATTTAACTTATTTTGAGTATAGGTAACATGGCTGCATACAGTTATCAGACCTCATCTAACTCATCATTCATTAGTACACTTTTAAATGTAAATTATATTTTATAAATATTTCAAAAGCCAATAGGGACATTAATGTCTTTAAGCAAAAATATTAATGATCATGTGATCCAGAGTTAAAGTCTAATGAATATCAAGGAAAAGAATGTATTACTCCAGAGTCACACATAGAGTATTACCTGAGCAGCATCCATTGTTTGATGATGAGTGAATGCCCAGGACATAGGGGCAGACTCCCCAGTAAGCGTTTTTTAAGAAACACCTGGACTACTCATTAATGCTTGTTACTGTTTGGGGTCTATAAAAACATATAATTAAGGAAGTTTTTTATTGTTTAATATATTATATAATATAGCAAAGAGTTAGGTAATCAAGCATGTAAAAATCTGACATTATGTTATAGCTTTTCTTTATTAACTCTGACCTGGTGTAACTATAGCAGAAAACTTTATGTCTATAATGCATTGTGGTGCAAATAATTGTTAAGTAAATAATAACTCATTATTAATTAATAATTATTTATTTTCAAGAAAATACATTATTTTCAACTTGAAATGTGGGTATGTACCCCATGTAATATAATTTTCACTCATTTTGACCCATTGCGCAACATATAAGGAAGAGCAAGTAATTAATGGTTAAAATATAACTATAGTTTTACCTACATCATCTACTAAAAGTGTAGAAAAGTCATTCATCAGTTTATGTTTTTATTTTTTTAGTTTTAAATTTTGGTATGTTTATTGGTTCATTATAATAATACATAATAGTTTAATTTATTATGCCATATTCATACATGCACATAACATAATTTGATCAATCTCATTCCCTAGTACCTTCATTTTCCATTCCCTTCTCTCTTGTCTCTCCCCTGATCCATTTGCTCTACTCTACTGATCTTCCTATCATTATTTTTTTTTCAATTGTACATTATAATTGTATATATAAATAAGATTCATTGTAGCATATTCATACATGAACATTCCATAAGATGGCTGTTTATATTCATTCTTTTATAGTTATACACAATTAATACATGTCTTGACAGTTACAAGTAATTGTGAAATTCAGTCTAAACGTGGATATGAAAGTCAAAATCCTGATGGAAAATTATATACTGAGGTTACTTACAAAAGTGTTCACCTGTATTTCCTGTTGCATTTAATTTTTTAAAGAAAAGTTTGTAGAAGTCTTATATAACACCTCTAGGAATTTCATGTTCATTTCAAATTCAGAAGGAAACAAACTAGACATGGCAGTAGAAAACACAAAATGAGTTTTTAGATGAATTTATAGAATTTTGTTATTTAATGTTTGCCTTATTTCATAGTACATTCAGAAGGAGTTATTAAACCGTAATGTTTTTGTTTTGTTTTGTTTTACATTTAGGAGGTTGATGTGGCTTTCTAAATTAAATTTATCCTATGAATAAGATTGCCACATTATGCTGATGGGAATAGTAGTTTGTATTTACGTTAAGATGAGGAACAGAAAAAGGAGAAGGATGCTACACTGCTAAAACCGCTGATACATTCTTAGATACTTAACATTTTTTTGCTTTGCAGGCAATACTTTTAGGGAAAGGTTTGTGTTTTACTTTTTTATGGAATGGGAGATATAATAAAAACATATTAAATCCTATTATTTACTATGGTTTCAGATACTCATGTCAAACAACTACCAACTATTCTCCACTGTGCAGCAAAATTTGGTTTAAAGAACCTGGCTATTCATCTGCTTCAATGTTCAGGAGCAATCTGGGCATGTAAGATGAAAAATATGGATGGTTCAGACCCAGCACAGATTGCTGAAAGGTGTGGTCACAAAGAACTCAAGAAAATCTTCGAAGATTTCTCAGTAAGGTTTTTTCTTATTATACCTCTCAAACTCTTTTATGAAGTAACTGTGTGCATGCATTTGCACATGTACATTGCTTTTTTGAAAATATTATTGTAGCGCGGCTAATCTGTAGTATCTGTTGGTTCTGATCTATCCATCATCTTAAGAAGCATTTTGCAAGATTAGTCAACTTGTTCTAGCATTGCCATGAACCAACTTTGATTCCCAATTTTAAACATAATTTTTGAAACCTGCTTTATCTGACTTCTATATAGCCTGTTTGATATTGAAAAGAAATAAATTTATTACTTTTAGTCTTCTTCTAAAATCAAGGTAGTTTTAGACACACGAAAACAGGTCAGTTTTATGTTAAATGAATGCATTTTGATAATAGTTCAAAAAGCCTACACAATAAGAAGTTAACTTATGTTGCTGAAATTTATTTATCTTATTATTTACGTTGAAATCCCAAATTTCAGAACACTCTTTAATGAATGCTAGTTTTATAAAAATAAAGCCAAGAGAAAATTTTATCTCAGTAAATAAAATACACTTTGTGTATCCATAATCAAGTTTAGAAACCATTTTTTTTTCTGTATGTAACAAAAGTATGCACATTTTGCTGCAGAAAGTGAATTAAAGTTCTACTGGCTCTTGGGAAAATATAATAGGACAAAAATTATGCTGGTGAATACATCAAAATTTATCTTTGGAGCCACAAAACAGATATAATTTTATTGTCAATGAGCAGTTAATATAGAGCATTGAAAAACTATAGACAGATTCAGGTCATTTCAGCATTTTTTACAATTATCAGATTAAGTCAATATAATATTGACTTCTAAAAAAATCACTGGCATTTTTAATTTCTAGAGAGTGAAATGACAAACAATGGCCTTTTTTCCAATTGTAAAACATGGCAAAATAGTTAACAAGTGAGCATGGATATTATCCACTCTCTAGAATGATCTTCGTGCCATCTTTATAATAAATGTAATAAAATTAATAAAAATTCTGATTTTTTAGTCCATGTCCTTCAAACTAGAAAAGTGCATTATTTTCGCTTCTGGAAAGATTTTAGTGATTCTCAAAAATGCCAACATTTAGTTAGTTCTTCTAGTTTATCTGATGGGTACATTCATTTTAACAATTATCTACTATAACCAACCATGGTAGAACAAATTTGCAATTCCAATTACCCTGAAGACGGAGGCTAGAGTACCACAAACTTGAAGCCAATATCAGTAACTTAGCAAGACCCTATTTCAAATTTTAAAATTAAGGAAACAAAAAAGGCTGATGATGTAGCTCAGTGGTAAAGTTCCTTTGAATCCAATCCCTAGCAATGAAAAGAAAATTTAAAAATTACTGTGTGTAGTCATTGACCAGAGCAACATGGCATCTATCTGAGGTAAGTCAAGGAGTGAATTTGGCCTTGGATATTTTCCCATGATACTGTTATTCAGTATATCCAACTCTTTATCTATCCTCTAATTTTTAGCCATTGATGGACATAGGTTAAAAGTTTTTCTAGAAGTTTCAGCAGCTAGAATTATTTTCTCAGATAAACCCTAATTTTCAAAGAGTGATGCTTCAGTTCCTGTTCTCAGTGAAGACTGCCTTTTGACAGATGTAGCCCATGCAAGCTTCACGTGCTCTATAAGTGATAAAATACTAGATAATGATGAAGATGCGGGGGGTAGAAGATGGGAATTTACAGATGTGGGAAATATTTTCTTCTCTTACATCCTCTGGGTATTTATATCTTTGTTCCTATAATAATAGTACTGATATGAAATGATCACTATCATTCTCTCTAGGTGACTATTCACCCTTTTGCAGAGTTCTGATTGATCATTAGCCTATGGGATTTGTGAAATGATTTTTATATATTCTGTCTTCATGACTTGTAATATTTTACCAGAATGTTTTTAGTAGACATTGTAGATCAGATAGATATCAATCTATGAATGCTGTGCAGTGAGAAAGATGCTCCAAGGATCAACAGTTCCACAAGTACATTTTAATGACTATAGATAATTTTAAGTGTAATAATTTAAAAACCTATCAAAGGCCTTATTTATAAATGTGTGGTTAAAAAATGAAAACATGAGTGTTAGGCTGTGAAACACATACAAAAATAGTTTCATGTTGGTTTATTTACCTCATAAATCTGGAAGTAGTCTTATCTTCTTAAAGTATGCCAGATAACTAGATATTGACACTATTCTAAGTTATGATAGCTATGTCTAAAAAAATATCTAAACCTAATAAAGGAAAACTGTGGGATCTCATTTTGCTATTAAAATATTATATTTTAATAATATTTGCATTGCTTTAGTTTTATAAACACACTCTGATGAATCAAAGATTTTCTCAAGTGCATTCAAATTTTCTATGAACTATTATTTCTGAGGAGCTGAAAAGGCAGATATCTTTCAAGTTGCACATTTACCAACCACCAATGGACCATACCTTTTTATTTTAAAAAAAAATCTATTTTTAATTGAAATACATTTTGCCTCTGATGGATTTGCTTATCTGTTGAATTCTTCCTAATCCCCTAGCAATGTAATGTTCATTTTAGAATCTCACAGGGAGTCACAATACAGTGAGTTGGGTCATAACTTAATAAAGTGAGTAAAAAGAAGAAGCCATTTTGCTTTTAGAAAAATACAGAAAATAATGTATTCATAAACCAAGTGACATTCATATTTTAGTGTTAGCTATGTAAAGGAGAAGAAAGAGTTGTGGGGAGAAAGGAGAGTATGTCTAAAATCATAATTCTTAAATTATTTTATGACATCTTTTTTGAGAAGTTAATTATTTATTCATAATTTATGAACAGAGCCTCTTGTGAATTGCTTTCAAGGTTTGATAAAGTTATCTAGCTAACACCTACACTTCTTTTGTTATTGGTTCTTTTAGTTATACTTAACATTAGGGTACATTTTGACATAATTATAAAAGCATGGAATATAATTTTCTGTAATTCATTCCCAGTACTTGCCCTTTTCATCTCCTCCTCCCTCTCCCTGTTCCCTTCTCTTTATTATACTGATCTTTGTGCTATTTACTTTTAGACATTTTTATAGTTAGTGTCTTGTGAATGATGGTGAAATTCACCGTTCATATACATTCGTAGGAAAATTAGGTCAGATTCATTCTGCTGTTCTTCCTTTATTCCATCCCTTCTTTCTCCACCTCCGTCCCTCTGCTGATCTTTGTTCTATTTTGTTGGAATTCCTCCCCTCTTCCCTTTGACTCTTTTTCTTTCTCTCTTTTTCTCCTTATTTTGAACTAGCTTTCATAAATTAGAGAAAACATTTGATCTTTAGCTTTCTGAGCCTGGCTTAGTTCACTTAGCAAGATAGTCTCTACTTCCATCAATTTACCAGGAAATTCCATAATTTCATTCTTTACTATGGTTGAGTAATACTCCAATGTGCACTCATAACACAATTTTTATTCATTCATCTGTTGAAGAATACCTTGGTTGGTTCCATAGCTTGGCTATCATGAATTGTACTGCTATGAACATTGATGTGGCTGTATCCCTAACATATGATGATTTTAGATCTTTTTTATATATACTGAGGAGTGAGATAGCTGAATCATATGGTGGTTCCATTTCTAGGTTTTTGAGAAATCTCCACACTGCTTTCCAGAGTGGTTACACAAACTTACAGTCCCACCAACAATATATGAGAGTACTTTTCCCCACATCCTTGCCAACACTTATTATTACTTATATTCTCGAAAATTGCCATTATAACTGGGGTGAGATGAAATGTGCTTCTTTATTATTTTCAGCTATTACTGGATGTTAAAACTATGTATTTCTACAATCTATAAAATCTTTCAAATGTTTACTCATTTTTCAGTTTCTGGCAATGTCTTCTATAAAATTAATATGAAAGATAGATGAACAAAGGTCAAAAGATTTGGTATTTCAATCCACAACTAAGTATGAACCACTATTTGCTAACAGAATTCTTGAGGAAAACCCAGACAATTTCAAATAACAAGTGTCAATATTGATGAATATATAATTCACTTAAAAACATACCTTGTAAGTTTAAAATATATGGAAAATTGAATGTAAACTGGAACCTAGCCTTAGATCAAGAAACATTTTTGACAGGCTGGGGATGTGGCTTAGTTGGTACAGGGCTTGCCTTGCATGTGTGAAGCCCTGGGTTCAATTCTCAGTACTGCACACACACACACACACACACACACACACACACACACACACAAACATATACATACACAGAAAGGCACTTTGAGATTTAAGATAAAGCATACAACAAATATGAGTGTGTATTTTAAGCAAAATGATATAAGTAATTTTTTCTTGTTTTGTCTCAAGTATATCACCCTTTCCATCCCCATCAATTTAAACCCTAACAAAATGATTGCACCAATGTGTAAATAGAGAAGGAAAATATGTCTTCCTCTGTCAGCTGGTGGTGGAACTGAAGAACCAACAGTCATTTACCTTAGGTTCAATTTTTAAAAAATACCTTTTTTCTTTCTCTACAATATTCATTCATATGGTTTTGGGTCAATAGTAATAAGATCTTAATCATAGAGATTCTTCAGGAAAATTTTAAAAAATAGGAAAATTAGTTTTCTGTATACTTTCACTAGCTGACTTTTTAGGAACACTCTTGATTGGGAACCTTTCTATTACTCACATCTGTAGCATTCCTGGGACATCCTGTTCTCATGAACCATCTCTACAGTTTTCTTTGCCCCTGTGGACAGTGGGCTCCAGTATGTGTGTGTGTGCAAATATTCTGTGGCCCTCTGGTGTCTGATTGAAAGATCCTGATATTTTCCAAATGGTCAAGGGTTGGAATGAAAATATGGCAGAGTTGATATTAAAGTATTCACAGTATCCCTGATATAAAGCAATAACTGACTCACATTGAAAACCTCTTGTTCCAGAAGTTAATTAATCTTGTGTTTTGGTCAGTGAACATTCTCTTTTTCTTGGCATTGTTCACTTAGTACATTCTACCTAGTGTTTTTGTTTTCAAGTAGATTGTTTCATTGCATTAATAGATATTATTATTATGTAATTGATTTTAAATGGTAGTACAACCTGCTTTGCATTTGTAGTTTCTTCTCTCTTATAAATCTAGATGTTCCCAATGGCTAATAGGCTACCCACCTCTCTTGCCGTCAGGTGATCAGAAGGTGCCTGACATGCATTTACTCTGTGATGGGAAATAAAGCAAGTGTTCAGTTTAAAGACTTGTTTGCTCTCACTTATGCAAAGGTATCCCTGACTAGATTTCACACTGGTCATATTCTCAATATATTTAGGTTTTTAAAAGACTGTTATTTGGGAATTCATAGATTACTGTTTTCAGCATAAATTTTTTAACAGGCTAGACTACAATGAATTTTAGAATTCCAGCTTTTACTCAA